GGGGGGGGACTCGGGGCCTTACCGAGCGTCGCCTCTTCATGGCGCCCGCGTCCGCGCCGCCACGTCATCACCCCGGGACGGGCACCAAAAAAAAAAAGGCGCGCAAGAGGCCCGGCGCGCGGCCGATACGTCATCGCGCGGTACCCCCTGACACCACAGAGACGAGAGGGTGGCGCCAGACAAGCCGCTTCCGGCAGGAGCATAGAGATCGACCCTCAGCTACCTAGAGCGTCCGCCAATGATTGGCTCCCGGGGACTGTGACGCAAATACGCGGCGCCAGCACTGGGCGGGCCCAGGAGACTTCCTGTCTTTTCTCAGCGGGCAACGCGGCTCCCCGGAAGTGCTCTGTCACCCGGAAGCGGAAGTGATTGGCAAGATGGCGGCGGCAGCAGCAGTGGGGGAAGCGGTGGCAGGTGGCCCGGAGCCCCCGGTGTGCGTGCTGGTGCTGGGCATGGCCGGCTCCGGCAAGACCACGCTCGTGCAGGTGGGGGCCGCACCCGCCCGGCTGCCTTGGAGGGGCAGGTCCGGGGGGGGCTGGCTCAGGAGGTCCTGCCTCCCTGGGGCGGGACGGGAAGGGGTGGGGGGCGCTTTTTGTCCGTCTGCCTCATCCCCCGTCTCGTGCCATCTCGCCCCAGCGGCTCGTCGCGCACCTGCACGGCCAAGGCGCCCCCCCCTACGTCATCAACCTGGACCCCGCCGTGCACGAGCTGCCCTTCCCCGCCAACATCGGTGAGTCGCGCGGGGGGCTGGGGGAGCTGCGTGGGGTGTTCCCAGGGGACCCGCGCCGGGGCTGGCAGAAACGGGCGTCTCCATAGAGCAGCCCCCTGAAGCACGGAGCGATGGGCCATCCCAGCTGCGGCTCACAGCCTCCCTGGGTGTGCAGCCCCTGCACGGCGGCGCTTCCCACGTCGAGGGAGCCGTGGTAGCGGAGCGAGCCAGGATGCCCAGGTGCGCGTCTGGGTGCACCTCCCAGGTTGAGGGAGACTCGGGTATCGTGTGCTCTTTGCTACGATTTGAAACTGGGGCATGAGGCTCTCGTTGCCTGATAATCCCCAAATCTTCTTGTTCTGTCAGCGGGGGACAGGCGGCCGTGAGGCAGCGCACTGGGCCGTTTTCTCTAGCATCGGGAAGGGTTGGGTGCCAGCGCGATGCTGTTACGGAAACAACTGCACTTCTGAGCCTTGCGTTCGCCCCCTCTTCGGCTTTCATCCGTTCCCTGCCTCAGGGTGGAGATGAGACATGCACACGCGGGGGCGGGGGCTACAGTCACTTCAGCAGGTCGGATTTGGGCTCAGACCCTCTCCATGGCGATCTGTCAGCACACAGCTCCCTGAAATTAAAGTGTCGCATATTTCACTAGCTTAGGGAAAAAAGCATTTTGGAGAAATCAAAGCTTGGAAATCATAAAAGACCCTACACGTACCTCGCTCTTCCTCAGGCGTACTCTCGTGGAGCTGGAGAGGCCCGGTGCTTTTAGGTGTCTCCCCAGAGCTGAGCCTCTATCAGCCTGTCTTCCTTGGCAGTAAGGGTGGGAGCAGGGTAGCAAACAAACTTGTAATGCTGGGTGAGGGGTAGGAGGAAAGGATTTTGCAGCAAAATGAACAGGCAAAAGTAATGGAAGATAGTTATTGTTTGACAGGGCTCCAGAGTGCTGGCCCCTACGAGGCAAATAACTGCCTTTTTTTACCATTATATTTAGCCTTAACCGTCCTAAAAGCAAGTCTACTCCAAGGGTAGATTAGCAGGCATGGCAATTTGGAAGTCTGTTCTGCGCAGTGGGGTGGGTTTTACAAGTGTACTGGGACAGCTAACATAGGTGAACTGACATAGTCTGCCGTGAGACTCCTGTCACTGCTGCTAGGTCCCTGCACCGAGCCAGGGAGGGGAGTAATTGAATCTCTCCTCTTTCTGTTGTAATAAGAACGTATTCGGTTAGTAGAGTGGTCACGTGCATCACTTTCTTTTCCTAGATATCAGAGATACAGTAAAATATAAAGAAGTCATGAAGCAGTATCCTTTTTTTGGTCTAAGGCTGCATGCTGAGCTGCTCTCCTGGGCGGACTTGAGGCCTGTGGGTTGGGGTTGATCAAAGGATTTCAGCTGGGAGCAGGTTTGAAGAAAGAGAGAGAGAACTTTGCTTTGGCTGGTTGTGTTTTTCTTGGAGAAGGTACGGACAAACGTACCTGTGTAGTAGGAGCTGCCACCCAGGAGCCTTCTGTAACTGTTACCTAAGCACAATTCTCTACCCCATAAATGAGCTAAGTTGTCATGAGCAGGGATCCTGGTTTTCTCTATTTAAAAATGGCAAATTCTCTTATTAACCCCCCCATGGGCTTTTTCTGCAATTAAAATGAAATGCCACTATATATAGAGGTATCAGTTGAAGGCTTATTGATATATTTACAATTTTAAAGCAGTTTGGAAGCCTACCAGTGCCTCCAATCATCATTATAATAAAATACATTCTAAATACCTACATATTTTGGCATTTGATTTTGTGTGTTTTGTCATTTAAAATCAGAGTTCTTCCTGCCCCCTTTGCTCGCTAGGGCACTGCCCCACCCCCCCCTTGCGGTGCTGAGCACCTCTGCTATGCCAGTGCCCCATACTAAATCCACAGCCCCCTGGTCCTGCTGATGTCCCTGTCTCCCCCCCCCCCAGCCCTGCCAAAGGGGGTCCCCACCTGTCAGGGCTATGGGGCCAGGTACCCAGGTCCACAGGCGCCTATCTTTCCCCCAGTAGTGGCCAAGCCTCAGCTGCCGTGGGAGGTAGCAGCCAGAGCAGAGCATGGAGCCCAGCTTCCTCTCCCTCATAGGCAGTATTGCCAGAGCAGAGCCTGTGGAGCGGGGCTGATGGGCTGCCAGCACAGCAGGGCGGGGAAGTGCAGTGCTGCCACCAGGAGCCCTGCGCCACCGTGGCGAAGCGCCCCCTGCCCATCCAGCAGCAGGAAGTACAATTCTGTGCTGCCACCCTGGCTGGTGCCAGGTGGGCAGGAAGCGCCTCCCCCTGGTGGCATAGGGTCCCTGGCAGTGGCACCTAGTCCCCTTCTCCGCCCTACCATGCTGGGTCCTGCCCACTGGCTCACAGAGACCCCAGGGGAGGGCAGCAGGGCAGGGAGCTATGGGCCTGCAGCAGGCAGACTGCACTTGCCCCCACCCCATGCAAAAACGGAGACACATCCCCCTCCTCCCCCCGGAAGTGTGTGCAGTGGCAGGGAACCAGCCCACCCCCCAGACAAGCTGCCCATGGTTCCATCCTGCTCCCCAACTGGGCCCTGCAGTCACATGTTGTAGGCCCCCCACACTGCTTCAGCTGGGCAGCGCCCTAATTCTGCCCAACTCCTTCCCTTCCTCCCTCCCTCACTATGAGGGCCTCAGTGAAGCATGTAGTGCAGTGCCCCTGTTCTCATCCGGTATGGGCGTGAGGTCGCATGGTGGCCCTGTCCCTTTACATTGATGGCTTCGCATCACTTGGGACCTAGGCTGCTAGGTCTCCAAGGCAGAGAGGCTTTGTCTTGTTGCTGGAAGGTGACCAACATTGTCTTGGACTTTCAAAGTCTAAGAACTTCCAGGTTTGGAAACCAAGCCTATTAACATCTACAACCATCTTCTTCCTTAACAGCATGTCCAGATATGGACTGGGCCCAAACGGTGGAATTGTGACCTCTCTCAATCTCTTTGCCACAAGATTTGATCAGGTACTGAGCTTTCCATATGAGGCCAGGCTGCTTGTTACTATGAGACAGCACGGCTTTTACTAGTCGGTCCCGCTATTTTCCGTGTGTAGAAGTCAGAGGGCCATTCCCTCTTGGGGGATTAGGAGTTGCCATAAAGAGAAATATGGGACTGGAAGGGGCCTCTGAGGAATCTGTTCCTGTCCCCTGATTTTGCAGGTAAGTAACTATTTTCCTAGAGTCCTCCAACTTGTCTGCTCAAATCTCTGTCACACATCACAGCCTTGAAGCATCTAATGAAAACTAAACTCACCCTGGACAGGTAAAAAGCAAGGGACGGGTGACAACAGGTGCTGTCAGTGCCCTGCCACTGTTGGAGCAACTTGTTAGTTCAAGCTCAGATCTTCCTAGGAAGAGAAGTGAGCTCTGTTCTGAGGCTGAGTGAGTGCAGCCTGCGGTACCAAACCATGTTACTATGAACTGAGTGTGAAAAGCTAAGCTGGAATCTGGCCCAGTGAATTGAGAGCAAAACCCTGAGGAATGTGTGCTGGAAAGGTGTAAACCGGTAGAGCCCAACTGAGCTCTGCTTGGAACATGGAGCTGCTGTGGTATCCTGGCTTAAGCAGGAGGGAGAACTTTACCCAGGAAACAGATTGTTGGGATTGCTGTCAGGTTGTGCTAGAACTTCTTTAAAAGGGTGAAAGCAATTTTTCAATAGCTGTTAAGTTTGGTTAAGAATGACAGTTAAAGGACATTTCTGGACATTTTCCTTAAGGTTCCTCCAGCCAAAATAACCTGTGAAATCTCAGTTCTTAAAGTCATGCAGATCAATATTCTTTATTTTGAGCTTTTCTGGTAATGAATGCTTAAAGATTACCATGAATATTCATTTTATGCACATATGTAGTTACATGATTTTAATTTATAGTCAGCATAGTTTATCTGTTAGTAAAGAGTTGCTTAGCCTTTTACCAAAGACCTCTTATAGATTCCTTTTTTTTTTCTCACCAGGTAATGAAGTTTATTGAAAAACGACAGAACACATCCAAGTAAGTAAATTCTGAAAAAAAACACGCTATCCTGATGCCCCTTGAGGGAAAGCTACTTGGAAGAGTTCCCACATAGGAGCTTTCTGCGAGCAGAGTTCTGCACTTCGGAAGTGATTTGAGCATATTTAGATGCAGGCACTATTTGTTACTTAGGTGTGTGAATTCCACAAGAGTTACAGGTTGAAGCATAGTCACAAGTTTCAGTTCATCAAAAGGGAATAATTCAAAGTCTTGTTCTCCTGGGCGCGCACACTGTGTGCCTGAGAGAATGCAGTAACAGTCTCAAGTGTGAGCAGGCATTGTGTGCTACATGCCAGTTGGCTTTCTGTGTGCTCTGTGTTAGTTATACATTTAATGGAGGATTTGATGAGCAGTTAAACCAGCATTCTGGTTTATTTCTAACACTTGTGTGCAGAGGGATGGTGGGGCAGAGGAGTTCTAATTGAATCTAGTGTTGCCTTACTTCACTTTTATTACACCTTCATCCTTCTAGCTGCTGTGTAAGTACACAGAGTTCAGTTCCTGTGCTGAAGAGCTTACGGTCTTAGCTCTGGTAGACTGCGAGCAATGGCTTTGGCTTTCATACAAATCCATAGAGAATAATGAGTACCTTTTGCTAACACCTTCAGAACCTTCCCATATATCAGAACTCCTCTGTGGATCTGTAGCAACATTGCTTGTGATCTCGCTGTTCTAACCTCCCTGGCGGGACCTGATGCTCTCCACTAATTCTTCCTTTGTTTTGGCGGGGTTGCCATCTTCCCAGGTATGTCCTTATTGATACACCAGGGCAGATAGAGGTGTTCACCTGGTCAGCCTCTGGCACCATCATCACTGAGGCACTGGTAAGTGCACTGTGCACAGCCTGAGTATGTGTGCGCTTGGGCATGGGGCTGTGGGATGTCATGCCCTGCTGAACTAGAACTTGTTTTGTCCTTTCCCCTCAGGCTTCCTCCTTCCCTTCAGTCGTCGTTTATGTGATGGACACATCTCGCAGTACCAGCCCAATCACCTTCATGTCCAACATGCTGTATGCGTGCAGGTAAGAAACTGGGGTCCTGGCAACCCAGCACACGTCTGCTCAAAACTTCGTCTCTTCCACACTGCTGCCATCTGCAGTGAGGGACCATACTTGTCTTGGTCAAGTTTAGTATGTTCTTGCCCCAGTCCATCAGAGTTGCTCTGGGCATCTTCCCCAAAAAATGATGCAATGCCAACACCATCTGTCATCCTTTTCACCCTGGTTCTTTCAGATAAAACCCGTGCAAGGGCAAACTGCCCCACATCTGCTACTCCAGGGTTCTTGCACCACTGAAGTTCCCAGTTCAGTTCTTGTTAGACTTGATCCAGGGCCAGTGTTTTCTGCTGGCCTGACCCAGTGCAGCAGGTTCTCTCCTCCCAAGTGAGAGCCGACCTGTCCCAGTATTTTCTATCTAAAATAATCCATGGATTGAAAAACAAGTACAGTTGATCTGTAGGTCTCTTGAGTGGCTGGAAATCACAGCTCATTCCACAGATGTCACCACAGCCTACCTGAGGTCCAAGTCTAAATGACTTATAAAAAAAAATGCAAACTAGCAAAAAAGTCAGCACTGAAATCACAGGAAAGTACTAATCAACCTCAGTCATGCGTGCAGAGGGCAGGCTCTGTTCTGTAGACATGCTTAAAATGTCCCTTTCTACATTTTGGTGCTCAGCAGTTCAACTTTGAACTGTGTTCTTGACACGCAGTCTGGTTGAAAGAGATCTGCTTCTCTAGTTGAGTCAGAAGTCATTGTTCCCGGGCTCTGTTTTGTGTGCAGGTCTGCCTGCCTTGCACTTAATGCTGTGCCCAAATCTGTAGCTCGATTGTAGCTCGATGGCCTTTGACATGTTTTTCCTCTCCTTTCAGTATCCTGTACAAAACCAAACTGCCTTTTATTGTGGCTATGAACAAGGTAGGTAGAACCTCTGTCTTGTCTGTGCTCTAGCTGGAAAAGATTCTGGCTCTGCTTGTTTCACAGCACTACATTCATCTTTCAGCAGGGATCCTATTGCATGGGGGAGTGAATACTGGGTACTAAAGGGATCTTAATCCAGCAGAGAAGCAGAGCAAGATCAAGTGCCTGGAATACCAGGCAGATTTGAGTTAGAAATTAGATTTTTACCAATATGGGTGATTTAGCTGTTGGAACATTTCACCAGCTGTTGGGTGTAATCTCATCTGGTTGATATTTTCACGTCTTGGTTTGATGCCTTCCTGAAAGATTTGCTTTTATGGGTGGCATGTGTTATTTGAGAGGCCAGATCTCATGGTTCCTTCTGTCCTTGGGGCCTATGAATAGAAGGCTTATTTCTGATGAGGAAAATTCAAGGTGTGGTGACTGTGCATGCCTAGGCCTATAATATGATTATACAGGCAGAGCAGTGTTGGGGCACCACACAAGCATAGGAGTGTTTCCACATGGGTCAGGTGGTGGGTTCTGGCAGTCCTACTCCCTTGATCTCTGAATGCACCTTGAAACTGGGGGGGTGTCAGGCTTTTCTGATCTTCCTTGAATTTAAACAGGACGAACAGAGTGCAGGAAACCTGGCTTCAGAGCACTGACTGTTGTGGATGGTTGTGAGCACTTGGTAACTGGGGTATAATAAGAAAAGCCTTTATTTGAGTCTTCTCTGTTTAGGTTCTGCAAAGTGCCCAGGCTAATCCACCTCTGAAGCTTCTCTTTACTCCTTCTAGACAGATATCATTGATCACAGTTTTGCAGTAGAATGGATGCAAGATTTTGAGACCTTCCAGGATGCCCTGAATCAAGAGACCACATACGTCAGTAACCTGACGCGTTCCATGAGTCTGGTGTTGGATGAGTTTTACAGCTCGCTTAAGGTAAGCATCCTTCCTTGCTCACTGTCCCCACAGAGGGGTCTCTTCACTGCTCTCATCTCTGAATCCCTTGGTTGAGCGCTGGACAATGAGTTATGGAGGGGGCCAACTTCTCCATGCCATTCTTCAGAAAGCAAAGGGAACGTACTTATTCAAAGTTACTTTATGCTAGCCAGGGCAGGGTGCTGGAGGGTATGATGGCAGATAGAGCAATTTAAATTTGTGGGAATAAATCACCAAAAGAAAGGAAAGGGTGAAATAAATTAGACTTTAAGAAAGCAGTGTAACAGGAGAAAAAGGTGTCTTCGGGGTCTGTTTTTAAATGCCTTCTATCCTAACAGGTTCAGTTCAGTTCAGTTCTGTACAGTTTGCTGGAGTAGATGAGTTTGGGGACAGGCTTAAAGAATATCAAATCCCATACACCTATTATCCAAAGAAGATCCCTTCCCTACCTCTTTGGAAGATCAATCCAAGCTTAGCAACACCAGGAACGAGCATCCTGCTTATCAGGAAATGCCCATGATCTTGTAGCTATAGAGCAGGGGTTGGGAGCCTATAGCCTGCAGGCTAGATCCAGTCTGCAGAGCAGTGACAGAAGGACTTTGCCCATATCACACTGGGGGGGAGGGGAACAACTTGAGGGCTGCCCTCTAGCTCTGTCCTCTACAGCCACAGAAAATAGTCTCTCTCCCTCCTCTTTATAAGCACTAGGAAAGTGTATAGTAAGGCCCCCATCCTCGCCCAAATGACTGGCTTGTCTGATAATCAGGCAGAATCGGTGGGCATGACAAGCAGCAACGGTTCACAGGGAAGAGAGGGAATAGGTAACAGCAGTATTGCGGAGTCAAACTGTGTAGTGATGTGTCCGGGGCCTTGACATGTTGATGTTAATGACGTTGGTATCGGCAGGTCTCAGGAGGTGCTCCCTAATTAAGTTTCCCCTTGCAGCTGTAAGTGAGGGTTGGAAATGGTGTTTTGGGGCTTCCTTTACTTACTGAGTGCCACTGTAAACACACACAGCACTGGACCTGGCTCAGTTAGCCCTGTCCAGTCCTGTTGTTTCTGCGGTTTCTGACAGGGATCTCCATTTTTATCTCCTCTTTGAGGTTCTGTGCAACTCAGTATGACCTGTGGGAGTCTCCTTGTGTTTCCTGCAGGTGGTGGGTGTTTCTGCTGTGCTGGGAACGGGCCTGGATGAATTTTTCGTGCAAGTCTCCAAAGCTGTAGAGGAATACGAGAGGTAAGGAGGCAGTCTCCCATGGGGTATCTTGGGGCCCAGAACACTGCTGCATTACTGATTCATATACCGCCTCCTTTGATTTAAAGGAACGCTGACCCTTTGCTGTCCAGCTGGATTCAGATATTTGTCATATCGGATAAATTGCATCAGATATCTGAAGCAGACCCTTCAGCCCACCTCTTCCACTGGTGCCACAGGGTAAACTAGTCTTGCATTGTGCCCAGAAGGCTCACGGGGCTGGACTGTGATGGACGGGGGGGACCATGTTCTCCAGTCCCATCCCCTGTGCTGATTGTAGCTGTTCCACTGTCAGGCTGCCATGGTGTTGGAATAGACCTCAAAGGCCACCTGATACAACCCCGTGCAGAAAGGCTGTTCCTAAGTTATCCCTGCCCAGTGCTGATCCAACCTCCTTTCAAAACCTCTAGTGAAGGAGATTCACCACCGCCCTGGGCACTCCTCTCCACTGGAATGGACTTTTTGGCAGCTTTCTGGGTTAAACCCAGGCCCTGGATCTCTCTCAGGAAGTCTGCAAGGCACTAAGATGTATCGTGGTGTGTTGAAACGCTAATGAACTGGGAGCCAGCCACTTTTCACAGCAGCTTTGGCTTCCAGATAGTCCCAAGGTGTCATGCCACAAAACCTGCTCGTGTTTGCTAGTCTTGCTACTATGTTAGTTGAAAACTATTAAGGCCAAAGTCAGTAGGCCGGTCTGTGGCTAATTGCAACACAGAGTGCAAATACGAAGCATCTCAAGATCATTCAAAGCTGGGAATTTGTGTGGTTCTGCTGCTGTTGCTCCAACATGAATTGCTAACACAAGCAAAGAATTCTTCTCTCTGAAAGCCCCCCCACTCCCTCATGTCTCTAGATAGCTAATGATGTCACTTCTTTTATGGGCACCTGCCTTTCAGTGAATGGTTAAAACCAGCCTGCAAGTGGTCGTCCTTCACTGGGGGGCACCGTGCTCACCTTTCCAAGATGCATAGTTATACCCCATGTTCCTTTCTTTTTCTCCTTCAAGGCCTCTTGCTTTTCCAACCTATTGCAGGACCCATCCAGATCTCCTTGTTCTTTTCCTTTGTTGGGCAGTCTAAGACTTAGTGGCACCTGAGGGGCCAAAAATCAGTCTCTCCCTCCATTCCCCACCTTTTCCAGCACATTTCACTCAGCCGAGATCCAGAGAGTCATTAGCATCTTCACACTTTTCCTTTCAGTGTTTGCCATATTGCTCTTTGCAAGTTCCAAATTGTGTTTGTGCATAATCAACAAACCATGCCCCATGGCACAAACCGTATTGAATTTTCTTCATTTACTTAACAGCAAATATGGTTTGCATACAATTAAATGAATGCTAATTCTTTCAGAAATGTAGAGTAGTCTAATGCCCAGGCACTACAGGCCTTAAATAGTAAGCTAAGCCCGCTATCTCCTGCTTCACCATTCCAGCATGTTTCTTTTAACACCTCTCTTGAGCAGGGCATGTTGCTGAGCCTGTTTGCTCACTCATTAGAAGGGTCTTATGGATAACTGATAAATTACCCCATCTGCATCTATGATGTGAAGTATTATTTAAACATTGCATTACTAGAACTGTTTCCAGAGGGTTTGGTAGCGGTTATTTGAGTAAACACATGGAATGTTTCTCTTTTCAGGGAATATCGTCCAGAATACGAGCGTCTGAGGAAAAAGCTGGTAAAGATTTGTCCATATTCACTGTTTTATGCTGTAGTTGGAGCACCACCTCGCCCATTCCATCCCTTTCGTAGAGCCTCAGTTTCTTAGAGCAAACTGGGATGTTCTTAAAGGGCCTCAGACTGGTTGTGAATTCACAGGCACCCGTCTTGCCATTCACTGCTGCGGTAACTGTTTAACCTACCAATCCTTGGGGTAAAAACCCTTTCCTGGGACCCACCTTCTGCCTCTCCCTGCCTGGGTTTTGTCTGGTACATGCTCACTTTGTGCTCTGTCTTTTGTACAAACCACCTTCCAAATGGTGCAGTACTAGGAATTGCAGGCAGAAGGGCTTGGACAGAGTGTCTTGAAGCTATACAGAAGGCAGAGGCAGGACATTTTTGCAGTGCCTTTTCTTGGACCAGCTGTATAGTCGGGAGCACTGTTGAAAACAGTCATTCTAGGGAGGTGGCACCTGGAGTTCTAGTCACTGAGGCCCAAGGAGGGAGGGAAACTGTGTCTGCAGCTTTCCAGAGTGACTGGCTAGAGCTTGTGGTGGGTCTCTGCACAGCAGCTCAGCGTACTCAAGGGGTTAGTAAAGGCAACAGCCGAGATGGAACATTCAGGCCTGTGACCTGCGTAACGGAGATGGAAACACCTGCCGGTCTCCTGTGGCACGTGCAGAGTTTGCTTTCTAGCGTGAGCCTGCGGGGTTCCACAGCTGCCTCTTCCTCCAAGCCGCCTGCTTCTGCTTGTACTCCTTGAGTGTCTCCTTGTAGTGTGCAGGGGTGTGTGCAGGGACTGATTGCCAGGCAGGTAGGGGGTCACCTGCCCCACTAGCCATAACATTGGGCGATCACAAAACCTGGTTGCGTACTCCCTGAGGGAATCTACCACCTCAGAGTAGCTGGTCTCTCTGGCTTGCCTTTCCCCACCTGCCTTATGGAGTACAGTGCACTCAAATGCCCTTGAGCATAAGATGATGTTTGTGACCCTGCAGCATCCTCTGGCTGCTCTCCAAACCCAGGATTGGCCCAGCTTGTGGCAGGCCTGGCTTCTGTTGGTCTGTTTTCTGGTACCATGTAAAGCAGTACAGCCTGTTCCATGGTCAGGTTGTTGGTGATCCCACCTGGTCTAGCCTGAGTGAGGAGTCTGTGTGGACACCCAGCAGGACTAAAGACAAGACCTGTCAAAGGGTGGATGAGCTTTCTGCAAGCCAACAACCAACCATACCTGGAGAGGAAATGGACGCCACCAGGTTATTCTGCTCAAAGAATCACCAGTGATGCAAAGCAACTCAGCTCATAGCAAAGGAGAGTTGTTACAGCATCTGAGGTGCCCCAGTGGTCACAGTGGCCTCAGGACTGACTTGACTTGACTTGTGGCAGGAGGGAATTGCAGGCAGATCAAGTGTTCCAAGTCCCTTGAGCCCAACTCTACTTCTGTTGGCCCCAGAGGGACTCGGTGAAGTTGCTCTGCTCTGTTGACATGGAATGGATTGTCCCTCTTTATGCTTTGGGTCCTGGCCACCCAAGAGACACCTTTCTCCAGGCACTGTGCATTGCTCCCTCCTGCTGTATTCAGCTGGGGGGGAGAAGGATGGGAATTCCTCAGTCTGGAAGTGGCGGGTAACCTTCAATCAGGGCATAAGGCCTTCCTGTAGACCTAGAGTCATAGGGCTGGAAGGGACCCCGAAGGATCATCAGGTCCAGCCCCCTACATGAGTAGGAAAGACATCTGAGGTCAGGTGACCCCAGCCAGGTGACTGTCCAGTCTTCTCTTGAAAGACCTCTAGTGTCTTTTGACCTCTAGGGTCTTCTCTTGAAGACCTGGGCTTTTCCCTAAGGAGAGTGATGGGAGGGAACTCCTTGAGCATGGGATGGTGTTTTGCTTGTGTGTTAGAGGCATTGTGAGACCTATGGTGGGTGTTTGCATTAATCGCACGACAATGGTTCTATGCGTGTAGGAGAAGGCCCAGAGCAAGCAGCAGAAGGAGCAGCTGGAACGTTTGCGAAAAGACATGGGCCCAGTGGCAGTGGAGAGCACCTCACTCGCAGGTACAAGAAGCGCTTGGAGGCTGATTGGTGTCACCTGGGTGGGGGGCATCTGGTGAAAATGCTCTGGGAAACTCTGCAACACACATGGAAAAGCAGCTTCATCTCGGGTTAGGATGAGTGGGATCCACACCCCCGTGGAGCAGGCCGGGCTCATGTCTGGCACATCAGCCCTACTGTGAGGCTGGGGAAGAGGAAGTGTTGGTGTCTAGATAAGAACTGCCACTCACTGGGTCAGACCTAGGTCCATCTTGCCCAGTCTTGTGTGTCACATGGCGACAGAGAGTAGAGGCTGGACGGGAGAGCGATCTGGGTCTGAGCAGGGCTTTTTTCCACTGTTCCTCTCTCACTTGCATCCTCCGGTATTTAAGGTCTAAAAGGTCTGATTCAGAGGCTGTGCCCCTCACTCCCATGCTAGATAGAAATGAATGCCCCTTTCCTCCAAAAATTGACCCAATCTCATTTTTTAATCTGGCTGCCAGCTTTTACGCTTCAAAAAGGATGTGGAGAAGTCAGAGAGGGGCCAGAAGAGGCAACAAAGATAATCCAGGGCTTGGAAGGCAAGTCCTGGAGGAGAGGCTGAAGGAGCTGGGCTTGTTCAGCTTGTGAAAAAGGCGCATAAGATGGACCATGACAGTAGTCTGCAAATCCCCGAAGGGCTGCCAGGGAGAAGAGGGAAATCCCTTGTTCTCTCGCTGCAGAGAGGAGGACACAGAGCAATAGCTGGAAGTTGCAGCAAAGTAGGTTTAAGTTGGAGATCAGGGAAGAGTCCTCACTGAGCTGTGAGGCAGTGGAACAGATGCCAGGGAAGCGGGGACCCTCCATCACTGGAGGTTTGAGGAGAGGTTGGACAGCCACTTTTAATTCCATGCTGCGTAAAAAAGAACTTCCTTTGTTACTACCTGCTAGTTTCACATCACAGCCCTTAGCTCATGTATTGAGAGAGAGTCAGTAATAAAGCCCTGCTGACTCTTTGCCATTTAGTATTTTGGAAACCTTTATGATGATCCCCCCATGTCTAAACTGACCCAGGCCTCTTTAGTCTCTGTGTATGGAAGCTTCTCTGTGCCATTGATCACTCTCTGCCCTTCCCTGCACCTTCTCTAGTTCTTCCATCTCCTTCTGAGGTGTGGGGACCAGACCCGGGCACCGTCTGCAAGGTTTGGGGTATTTATGAGAGTGTGGCTATACTAGAGAGCCATGCCCTGGAAGGTTTTGGGGAGGGTGACATTTATATCGCTGATCTGGCTCTCACTTGGTGCCCGGGATGGCACTGTGTTGCAGACTGCCTGTGAGCTTCAGTCTCTGTCACCAGGGGCAGGTGCTTAGATGGGGAAGATCTGAGGGAACTGGCTTCTGCTCAGCATGAGTGGTTCAGCTGAAGCTGCTTCTGTTGGTCTGCAGGTCCCGCTGACATGTCTGCAATGGGCCCCTCCGATTTGATCCTGACAAGGGGAACGTTGGATGATGAAGAGGAGGACAGCGATACCGATGACATCGACCATCAGGGTAAGGAAGGCTTGGAGCTGGGGCGAGCGATGAAGCTGCTTGTGGGCAGGTGTTGCACAGGGCTGCCCCCATAGATTCTGTCTTGAGCAGGGGGCTAGATGAGATGATCTGGTGAGGACCTTGCCAGCCCAGCTTTGCTGCAGACCTAGAGGAGCCCTTGCAGCATTGAGTCTTTGTGGAGAGACGTGAGCCAGGGCTGCAGGACAAAGCAAGGTTCAGAGCTGAGGTTCAGAGCATCAGTTTAGTTGAGAGGTTGGTTGGACAAAGGAGAGGCAGGGACAAGAGGGAGGCAGACAGCATTGTCTGCAGCAGATCAGCATCAGATGGGACCATTCAGCCATGTTTCTGTGGGAACGATTTGAGTGGTGGGTGTGAGAAGGAAGGGAAGGGGGCTTGTCTGCAGGTCTGGTCAAGGTGGGTCTTGAAACGAGCAGCCTGGCAAATCACAGTGAAATCGGGGGCTGAGGCACAGTGACGTGTGGCTGAGTGTTTGCTGGTGGAGCAGGCTCCTTTCAGTCCGTCTTGGCGTCCATGTCAATCTGAGGATCCAGAAAGGGGCAATAAGTGAGCTAGCTAGCCCTCTCTGCGCGTAGGCCTAATCTCCAGAACATCTGTTTTGGGCAGTGAATTCTCAGTCTGGGTGATCCTAACCCAGTCCCCGTTGGGTGTCAGGACCCTTCTCCTGGGCCTCATTTAGTCTGCATCTGCTGGCTTTTATGTGATGAGCTGAGTTTGGGGCACAAGGATGCTGCCAGGTTTAAAGCCAGCCAGAGGATGGATGTTCTTGGGCAGCCTGCAGTTAACCTATGGAACTCCTTGCTGCAGGCGGCTGTAGAAGCAGAGCACAGCCAGGTCCCAAAGGGATTGGACGGGTTCCTTGAAGATGGGACCATGGGAGCTGTTGAACAGAGCAGTCAGGGTTGTGGCATCCCTAAGTGAATGCTGGTGCCAGGATGGATTACTAGAGACATGCCCTGCTTGTGTGCTGCTCCTGTGTGCGGAGCGCTGATCTGAGTCATTGCTTGGGTTCTTTGGCCTTTGAACAACCCATGAGCTCTTCCCATTTCTGCTGAAATCTGCCTCTACCCTTCCCCTCTTCACTTCTCTCTGGCCTCCTGGGCTTGAATGGTCTGAAAAGATTTGCCAGGAGGAGTCTGGTGTGGAGGTTTCCCACAGTGCTCTGATCCATGCCCAGCACCATAATTGCAGGCACTGAAGCCACGTGGGAGCTGGAATGAATTGTGACCTTTTCCTTTTCTCCCTAGTCACTGAAGAGCGCCATGAAGAGCCAGCCTTCAAGAACTTCATGCAGGAGACGAGGATGAAGTACCACGAAAAGTGCGCTCGGGGAGTGGGAGACATCCAGAAGTAGGAGCTTGGAGCCCTTGAGTTGGAGAGAGGACCCAGGGGAGGGGCCTGGGCAAACCCAAGCTCAGTGCTGAGCCCAGTGTCTGCAAACCATGTCCCTGCTGTTCCTCTGTCTGCTGGAGCTCTGCCCTCAGAACCAGGTACTGCCGGGACTTGTACACCCCAGCAGGGCTGGACTTCACCTTTATCTGCTCGTGGCCAAGCTGCATCTGCTGGGGGCTGGCATTTCCAGAGGGCTCAGAATGGTCATCTGAAGTCTTGATCTGTTGCCAGGTCAGCACCTTCATGCCAGCCAGAACGCGTGGTTTCCCTTGGGGGCAGAGAACAGGCAAGGCCCCTGTTGGAGCCCTCCTGCGGGCCTGTCCCAGAGTCAGCGTGATGGGGCAAGACTCAGTTTTAAATATCCTGGAGCTGCAGAGTCTGTTGGTGGAAGGGCTCAGCATTGCATCTTCCCAGAATGTGTCGGCATCTCTGAGCGAACCCGCTGTAGCTCATGCCGCTGCAGGCCTCTGCCCCACACCCTATTTTGTAATTGAAAGTATTTTTTCTATGGTGGAGCTGATGGAGTGGGGCTTGTTGTAGAGGGAGTCGCCTCGGGGTGTTGGCCCGTGAAGTGGAGTGGGCGTATACACATGCTTTTAGCCTGCTCCTTTCCTGGTGTGCCGCGGCTGCTGCCACCAGGCACTGCTTTTCTCAGTCCACGGCACTGTCTGGTAGGTGACTCGGTGCGGGCTGTGCTGCTGGCCCAGGGCAGGGGGACCCTGCAGTACTGGAGGGAGTTCCATCAGCAGCTCTTTGGTACAGGGTAGCGCCAGCCTTGGGCTTTGACCAGACACCAGTTGGCTCCAGATGGGATTCCCCATAGCCAGTGCTGAAGCCTATTGGTATCTCCTGGGGGGTGCAGTGTTCATGGGGCAGTGGGTTCCTTGGAGCCCGTGCTCCCCAGAGAGGTCCCATGCCCTGTGAAAGGCTCCTCTCCTCCTGGTTGAGGTTGCCTGCTCCTCTCCCAGACCCTCACCTCACTCAGGTGTCCCTCCTGCCCCTTTGCATCCCTCAATCTTCCCTCAGACCCAGTAGTTGTTCCATGGGGGGGTCCCCATCGCTGCAGTGACATCAGGGCACTGATGCTCCCTCCCCTGCCAGCAGGGGCTGGATTCTCCACCTCTCCTGCAGGATCTCAGCCGTTGCATGACACGGTGGGGGACGGTGCCCAGGGCAGAGATGTAGCCCTCAGATTTCTTGGGTGCTGATCGCAGCCAAGAATTCCTGGGAGGAGCTCTGTGCTCACCTGCCACAGCCCGACTAAATGGGTCCTCCCCACAGAGGGCTGGGCGGCCCCTTGCTTGCCACCTCCTCGCTGGGGACAATGGCTGAGGGTGCAGGCCGCTAGTGGTGGGGGTGGGATGGTCTCTGGGGCATCAAGTCGCAGACTAATTGCAAGCCCCTGGCACATGGCTATATGGCGGGGGCGGGGGGGTTATGTGCTCCCATGCTGCCCCAGCTCAGGGGACTGATGGGCCCTGCACCTATGGCCTTCCCTTAAGCTCAGCTGCTCCCAGCTATGCCATCTCCAAGCCTCAGCCCCTGCATTGTACATGGGCTTCACCCCCTGCCTTTTGCCACATCTTTGTTGGCATCCCTAGCATCAGGACGCTCCAGCCCTGCTCCTCAGAGTAGCTGGAGACAAAGCTGTGTGCAGATCCCATGCAGACAGACCCAGGACGAGAGCAGGAAATTCAAGGTGCTGTAAGTGCCCCAACCTCCTGCCTGCCCTGGTGACCCCTGCCCTGATGCTGCCTGCACTGCTCCAGAGACTGGGCTGGGCCCTGCCATGGCTGGAGGAGGGAGACCTGGAATCAGGCTGAGCTCACAGCTAGTCCAGCTGTGCTGGGAGCAGGGTCACCCCTCCCACCTTGCACCTGATGCTTCTGTGCCCCCTCCCAAAAACCCATCTCCTGCCATCCTCTACTCCCAGCACATCTGCATGTGGCCTCAGGTGCTGCCTACCTCTTGCTTGACCAATCTCATTTCCTTCTATGACCAGGTGACCTATCACCTGGACAAGGGAGAAGAGATTGATGTCATATATCTTAACTTTAAAAAAGCCTTCGATCTGGTGTCCCATAATCACCTTTTAGCAAAACTGGCCAAATGCGGCCTCTGCTTCACCACAATCCTCTGGCTGGAAAATTGGCTCCGGGGTCGGACCCAGAGGGTAGTAATTGATGGAAGTCACTCATCGTGGTGCCCTGTGACCAGTGGGGTCCCCCAAGGCTCTGTCCTAGGGCCCATACTATTCAACATCATCAGTGATGTAGACGTTGGTGTCAGAAGCAGACTGGCCAAGTTTGTCAATGACACCAAACTGGGGTAAAGCATGCACACCTGAGGACAGGAGGGTGATCTAGGCTGACCTGGACAGGGTCAGGAAATGAGTGGACGAGAACCTGATGTTTAATACTGAAAAATGCAAGGTTCTCCACCTTGGGAAGGAAAACCCGCAGCATCCTTATAAGCCTGGCAGTGCTACGCTGGCTAGCACTACGGACGAAAGGGACTTGGGGGTCATGAACGACCACCAGATGAACGTGAGCCTGCAATGTGATGCTGTGGCTAGTAAAGTGACCAAAAAACCGGCTTGTGGTCCTAGATGTTTCTCCCGCACAGCTGGCTTGTGTCCATAGATGCTTCTCAAGCAAATCCCAGGACATCATTCTCTCTTTGTACTTGGCTTTGGTGAGGCCGCAGCTGGAGTACTGCGTCATTTTGGGCTCCACCATTCAAAAAGGATGTGAAGAAGCTTGAGAGAGCGCAGAGGAGAGCCACGCGCATGATCAGAGGGCAGGAAAACAGACCTTATGATGAGAGGCTGAGACCCACGGGACTCTTCAGTCTGGAAAAGTGCAGGCTCAGGGGGGACCTGGTGGCCACCTATATCAGAGGTGTATATCAGGGTCTGGGGGGACGTCTGTTCACTAGAGCGCCCCAAGGGATGACGGTCACAAACTCTGCAGTAACCGATTCAGGCTGGACATAAGGGAGAACTTCTTTACTGTCCAAGCCCCCAAGGGCTGGAGCCGGAGGTGGTTCAAGTACCTACTTTGAACTCCTTCAAGCGAAAAGTGGATGTTCATCTTGCTGGGATCCTATGACCCCTGTGGACTTCCTGCCCCTGGGGCGGGGGGCTGGACTCCATGACCTTCCGAGGTCCCTTCCAGCCCAAATGTCTATGAAATCTACTCCCCCCGGTCATGCAGGGTCAGGTACCCACACCAGGATGCACAAAAACATTTATTGAGGGAAACAGGGGGGTTGGGGATGGCAGCGGTGGGGAGAAGTCTACTGGGGCCATGCTAGTGGCCCGGGGGCAGGAGAGTGTGCTGCATGGCAACCAGCTCCCCCTTCTGACTGGCTCCTAGTCACATGTGTGCATGTACACATGCGTGTGCACCCATATATTGGGGTGGGCAAGAGCCCAACTCCATCTTTGGTCCTAACTCCGTGTAGTGGGTGCAGAGATGGGACCGAGGCTGGCTCCCAGCCCCGTTCGCAGTGTTTGATGGGTCTCTTGTGAAGCCCTGGCTACTGCAGACCCTGGCCCGGGAGCCCCCGGGGGGATGGAACGGATGGAGCGCAGGCCTGTTGGTCTGGGGCCAAGGCCTGGCCCAACGGGTCTAGGCAGGGAAGACTGTGCCAGCCCCACAGCCCGTCTGCATCTCCTGCAGCTGAGCTCAGAACGATGTCTCCTGCACCACACAGGTGGGAACGGCGTCTGCACGGGCAAAGCCTTCACCCTGCTCGCAGCTAGCAACACCGGCCAGGGGCCCGTTGGGCAGTCCGTTGCTGGTCTTCTGTCCAGCAAGGCGAGCTGGGTCCATGCCGCTCATGTCCTGGGCAGGGGAGAGGTGCGTGAAGGGGGCAGACATGCCTCTTCCTGGACCAGCCCTAGCCTGGCTCAGAGGCCCTGCTGGCCCTGTCCCATGACACCTCAGTGCCTAGGGACAGAGGGCCTAGGGCCCAGGACCCAGCAAAGCCGAGGGCTCCAGCACTAGATGAAGCCATTGCAGGAAGGGGGGGCAGGCTGAGGAAGCCAGCTCAGTGCTCACCTGCATGGAGCTGCCCACCCCACAGCTCAGCTGGGCCCGGTATCTGTGGGGCAGGCAGTGGCACAGCTTGAGCAGGACGGGGTAGATGGTGCGCGGGTCCACGTCCTCTCCCCGCATGGGGCCTGCAAGGTGGAGGACGTCCCATTGAGCTAGGCCTGCCCCCCGCCACCCAGGAGGATCAGCCCCAGCGCACCAGGGCCAGGCCTGACTCCCTTCCCCTGCGACGAGGGTGCCATGTCATCCCTGGCCACCCGTGCACAGCAGTTGATCCCCTCTAGTCCCCCGGAGGGAGGGCAGCCCCAGCCCACGGGGTGGGCATACCGGTGAGGAAGGAGACGAGCAGCCCCACGACGATGACGGTGGTGGAGTTGTGGGCGCTGTACCACAGGTAGGACAGGCTGTAGAACTTGTGGAGCCCCGTGCGGCTGCGGGGGACAGCAGGACCATGAGGAGCAGCAGGGACCCTGACCCAGACCCTGCTGCACTCCTTCCCCTGGAGCTGCCGCGGCAGGGTCAGCAGCGGGGTCTGGGCTCCCCTGCCCCAGACCCTGCTGCCCTCCTTCCCCTGGAGCTGCCGCGGCAGGGTCAGCAGCGGGGTCTGGCCTCAGCCAGGCCAATTCCCCCCACAAGCCAGACGCATGCCCCTGCCCGCACCCCGGGGCCCCAGTCCCATCCCCAACCCCCTCCCCCCACGCACATTTTTGCAGCTCAGGCCCTCCAGACAGACCCCCACCGTCCCTCACCTTGGGGGGGCAGTGGTAGAGGTCAGCAGGGTCATCATGACCGCTGTCGTCAGGTTGCCGTTCGGGGGGAAGCGGGTACTGTTGGATGCCGGGGGGGCCGCAGGCGCCGCCATCATGTTGAACACGAAGCCCCCGATGCCGACCCAGAAGGCCATGGCCAGCCCTGCTGCCAGGCCCACGATCGCGCCCTGCGCAGCACTGCCGTCAGCGATAGGGCACTGGGACCCGTCACCCTGCCCCACTGCTCCTGAGCACCCCAGGGCTGAGCGCGCCGTGACGGAGCTCAGGGAGTCGCGCCAGCCGGGGGTGCGTGCACGCCCTTCCCCCAGGGGCAGCTTTCCAGAAGCTGCCTCCAGCCCAGCGCAGTGTTCTGGGCCCCGGGAGCCACCGTGCCGCCAGCTGCAATTAGTGCAGCAGGGCAGGACCCCAGCTCCACCAGTGCCCTTCACCCCTGCGCTTGGTGTGAGGGGCCCCTGCTGGCAGCGGGATTGGGGGTGCTCACCAGGGAATTGGCACATGGAAAGAACATCCCGAGGCAGAAGACGCCGAGCAGCGGGCCACCCACCATGCCGAAGATGCTGATTGCAGCCTGCAAGAAGAGCGCTGGAGGGTGAGTGCAGCACAGGGCACAGAGCCCAGGGACAGAAGGATGTAGGCAGCTCCTACCTGCAGCACAGAGCCCATCATGGAGGAGATGTAAGCCATTCCCAGGCACACCAGGCCATAGCTGAAAGCTGGGAGTGAGGAGATGGAAAGGTTGAAGTCTGCCCCTTTGCTCAGGCTCAGACTGGGGATTTCCCCCTGCTCAGACAGATGTGGACTGGGGGGTTCTGCCTTCTTTTGCAGCCGGGGCACAGCCTCATCCTGGGGTCTCTCGATGCACTGAACGCCCCTGGCAGCAGCAGGGCACTGCCATCCTCAGCCCCTGTCCTCCCCTGGGCAATGGGGTGTGTGGCGGTGTGCAGGGCCAGGATGTGGTGTCAGAAACAGCTCAGGTCCAGACAGGACTGATCCTGCCTAGAGCAGGGGCTGGATGAGCTGGGACCTCTCCCGCCTGGCTCTGCTGTGATGCCAGGCAGGGTCTGGCACTGGATTCGGTGTCTCCCCCACCCCAACCTGGTGCAGCGCTGGGGCCGCGGGACTCACCCAGCACCTTGGAGAGCAGCGTGGCTTGGGACTCGCGGATGCTGGGGAAGTGGGGACGGATCAGGTCCTCCATGGTCACCGTCGCCAGGGAATTAAAGGCTGAGGAGATGGTGCTGGAAGCCGAAACAACACAGCTGGGGGCTCCCGTGACCCCGGGGGGGGGCAGCAGGGGCCTGCCCCTGCCACTCTGCCCCAGGGCCCCCCACACTCACCTCAAGGAGCCGCTGAAGAGGCAGGCAACGAAGAGGCCGGGCAGGCCAGGCAGGCCCTGCAGGACATCCATGACGAAATAAAGTACCATCTGCAAGGGAAGGGGGTCAGAACAGGCCCTGGCAGGGCTAGGGGGGGGCTCCCAGGGACCGGGAGGCAGCCACGAGCAACAGCATCACTGCACCGGGGTGCAGAAGCTTCCTCCTTCCCAGGAGCCCCAGCGCTGGGGTGCAGCCCTCCCAACAGCTGGCTCCAAGGGAAGGGCAGGGGATGGGTGTGCCCTGGCAAGAGGAGGGGGGGGGAGGAGGAGCAGGAAGACATCACGTTGATGCTTCCTTTATAAATCCATGGTGTGTCCATGCCTCGAAACTGCCCAGCTCCAGTCTCCGCGCCGCCAAAAGGAGAGAGAAGAACTAGAGCAGGTCCAGAGATGGGCAGCGAGGGTGATAAGGGCTATGGAGGGGCTTCCTGTGAGCAGAGACTAAGGCCAGGCCTGGGCAGCTTAGAGAAGAGATGCTGGAGGGGGGACAGAGGGGTTCACACAATACCACATGGTGAAGAGAAAGTCACTAGGGATTTATTTTAGCCCGTCTCTCACTGGACAAAAGCAAAGAGACACAGCAAGACACTAGTAACACCAGGCACTTCTTTTCCACCTAGTGGGTCACTAAAGGGTGGAGCTCGTGGCTACCAGATGTGGGGGAAGCTGAGAGTGCAGCCAGATCCACAAAGGACTGGACATGTGCTGGGAGGAAAGGGGCGTCAGTGGCTGTGGGGCAGGGAGCGAGGGGCACGGCCTGCAACAGACCTGCCTGGACTCTGTGCTGGAGGCTGCAGGGAGAGAGAAGCAGGGAAAACCCTGCTCAGACCCCATCGCTCTCCCTTCCAGCCGCCACTCTCTGCCAGCGTGACAAAGTAGCTTGGGCAGGATGGACCCGGGTCGGACCCGGTCCAGGGCAGCGCTGATGTTCTCAGGCAGCCCCGTTCCGCCACGCCGGGGCCCCCGGGACGCTGGTGGGGCTCACCTGGTCGGGGGAGGCTAGGCTCTGGGCAGCTGTGAGCGGGTGCTCCTGGTTGTAGGCGAACATGACGAGGCCCATGACGCAGCCAAGGGACAGCACAATCTGCTGGCAGGGGAACACGGCATAGCAGGAGCTGTGGGGAGCAGCGGGGCGTTAGGGCGGGCGCGGGGACAGGACGACTCCCTGGCCCGGAGCTGGGCCTAGCCGGGAGGAGCCAGGGGTCCATCGCTGGGATGTTCCAGGCCCCAGCACTTGCCCCCATGGGACCCCCCAGCCCAGGCCCTGCCCAGCTGCCCTCACCGGCAGGGGGGAGGGGAGGGGAGCAGGGCAGACGGCGATGTGCGCGCCAGGCACGGCCCGTGTCCCATACTCACAGCACAGCCTCCCTCTCTGAGCGGGAGCTGAGGTAGCGCTGCACCTGCGCCTGATTCACGCCGTACAGCGCCAGCATCATAAAGACACCGCCGAAGGCCAGGGTCCAGAAGGTATGGCGCTCGTAGGGGTCTGGGTTCAGGCTGCGGACAAAGGGCCAGCGTCATGGATGCCCCTGCCTGCACTGGCCCCCCAACTCCTTCTCCACCCCACACCCGTGGTGCACGTGAAAACTGTGAAAGCTTGCACAGCATCTCTTGCACAAAAAATGCAAGACAATGGCTGGGCCAAGACTGGGTTGTGGTAACAAGAATGCCACAAGAAAATCAAACTCTGCTAAATGGCTGCAGCCCATTAGGTGTAAGAGAGCGTGGAGTGCTTGCGGTGCCCAATACCAGACCCGGGCCATAAAATAACAACAGTCATACTAACAGTCCTCAGCCGTCTACCACACCTGAGCCTAAAAAAATAAGTGGTGGTTAAAAGTATTGGCAGAGACCTAACACACTCATTACATAAGTGTAACGAGACTCGGAGAGCAAGCCAGAAAGCCAAGTGGCCTGGGGAGAAACCTGCAAACTACATCTACATCTCAGTTGAGCCGCACGTCACTAAAAACAAAAGAACTAAAATACCCACTTCAAAGCAAAGCCTGAAGGACAGCCAAGGTGCACTGAAAACATGACTGCAAATATATCCTGGTGAACACACTCCCCCTTTGATTAAGACCTATTTCCCAAAGCAAACATTCAATATCCGTCTAAAGTTTTATGCTGAAATCAGTCTGTGTGACTGCATCTAACCTACCTCACACCTACTGTCTGATCCTCATTGCCTCACATTTGCGTTTATTAATCAAGGCATATTTCTCAAAATAGGCAGTCAACAGCTAAGTGTTTATTATGCCAAACCAGTGTATTCTCCCGAAACTCACACCAATGGTTTCTGACCTTCGCTGTCTCCAGAAGCCATTTGATGCAGCTATTTATTAGGCTCCTTTATTAAAATAACTACTGAAAAATAGTATTCTGTGATCAACTTCCTAAAGGTCTCTCATGCAAGCAACGCCCATCCTATTTGATTCCAAACTGATCAAAACCCGGCAAACTTCACAAACACACAAACAGGATACAATTGGAATATGTTAACTCTGTCCTTGCCTGCTTTGTTCGGACTCTGATTAACCATCTATAAAGAAGGACTGCTTTGAAGCTATACAATTAACGGTATAAAAAGCAAGACAGAACTGCCAGCAAGGTGCGTATGGTCCAGGGAAGATCACTTGTGGCTGGGTGGCACGATGGCTTCTTGAAGGATGCACACTGCGAGGCTGTACAAGAACGGCTCTGCCTGCATTGGGTAAAGTTCCCTTTGCAGCTAAGACAATACAAGGACTAATGGCTTGTTTTTTATTGGGGAAGAGTGTTTTTCTGTCATTTAGTTTTGTAGCGTGTTGGTCATTATTAAAGCAAGCCTTTCTGCTCTTCGTCAACCGAGCGTTGTGTCAACTCGCAAAGAACTAGATTAAAAATTCGGTTTCTAAGTGCAACACCCGTCTGACCAGGGCTGGGCTGGCTGCTACGGCGGGGCTGCGGCAGGGTCCAGGAAGCATCGCAGCGACCCGAGCCTAGGCTGCCACTACTGGGGGGAGCTGGGGGGTCCCAGGGGACGGGAGTGTCACTGCCTGGGTGTGTTGGCACTTACTCAATCCCTGAGATCCTGTCATGGGCGGCCGCCACTTGCCAGACCCGCCCCATGCCGCCCACCTTCTGGGTGCCCACCACGATGACAGTCAACTGCCCCACGAACATCACCAGCGTCTGGAACACGTCGGTCCAGATCACGGCCTTCAGCCCACCCTGGGGGGGACAACACACCGCCCGTCACCGCTGCTGGCTGCCCGGGCCCCTTCCCACCCGCGCACAACCCAGCAGGGGGGCTGGGGCAGGAGGGGCCGTCCTTCCCCCAGGGCGCGTGGGCACCCCACAGGAGGCCCCTCATCCATCCCACTGTCCTGCCCCACAGACCACCCCCCCCCCGGCTGGGGCAAGGGGGGCACTTACCAGGGTGGTGTAGAGGGCGCAGACGAGCCCCATGGTCAGCACAGCAGCCCAGAGGTCAAAGCCAGTCACTGCAAGCAGAAGGGAGGTGGGGGAGCAGCACTCGGCGCCACCGGCCGCGCTAGCACGGGGGGCTCAGCAGAGCCGAGCACGGCGCCAGGGACAGACGGCACGGGGCCTGGGTCCGACAGCAGCTGGAAGCACAGGAGCCCCCACCCCGCAGGCCCCCCTCGTGCCCAGCAGCCACGTCGTTACCTGCATTGAGGGCCAGTGCCGGTGTGTACAGGACGACTCCCATGTAAATCACCTGCCAGGGAGAGAAGTCGCAGCGGTGACATTTTTAATGGCTGCAGGCACAGCCAGTCCCTGCTGGGAGCCCCCAGTGCCCCACACTGCTGCAACGGGTGGAGGCTGCTCGGGGGCACGGGAACAGGGCGTCCAGCAAAGCTATGGTGAGGGGCAGAGCCGGGGCAGGCGGGGGATGTGGGCCAGACCCCCCAGGCTGCACTGGGTCCCCTCAATCCCAACCTGCGGCCTGCCCCCCTCACTCAAAACCTCCCAAAGCAGAGGGTCCTGGTCGTGAGCCGTTGCACCCCTGCCCACGCTTCCTTAATTCTTAGCTACACCTCTGGGAATTATGTGCACAAAAATTCAAAGTGATGTGCCAAGTCCCAGGGGCTGCACATGGAGGCACAGGGCCCACCCAGCTCGACGGCACGTGGACTGGAAGCCACGGGGAGTCACGCACCATCGTGCTGGGCAGGCTCTGTGCCTCCACACGTGGCTTTCTGCCAGAGCCGGTCAAGCCCGGCGGCGTGCAGCTCCCACCTGCGGTGCCACAAGCCCCATGCGCTGGCACGGAGCCAGCCTGGTCCGATTCGAAGGCGTGCGCCAGCAGGCTGGGCCAGGCCAGCTCCATGCCAGCACATGCAGTCCCTGGTGCTCAGCTGGATCCGTGCGCTGCCGGGGGTCTCTGCCTGCAGCAGC